ATGTAATAACATGTTAATAAATAATATAGTTGTTTGGCATTCCATTTTATATTTTCATTTATTTATATTTTATACTGCGCGATTGCTTTAGAATTTTATCACTAAATTGATATAAAAATATACCGGATAAAGTTATTTTTAGTTTTATAAACAATAATAAATAACCAAACTCAATTATCATTCAAAACCTTACAAGAAAACCATTAAAACAGTTATATTAATAAATGAATATTTATACTAAATATATATTTTAGCTTCGATGCGAAGCTGAGAAGGTATTGGTTTTACTAAGATGTGTTTTTTTTTTGTGTCTGTTACCACTTTTTCTCAGCTCTCACCGAACCGATTTCTTTCAATGATACGTCAAAAGATCACAAATCGTATCTAGTCGAAGACATTACCCTTAAAAATTGAAAAAAATTCCCTCGTTCCCCGTAAATGGGGGAAACCTCCAAAAAAATTACGAATTTAAAAATGGCTAATTTTCGAAATTTTTTCAATTTTTTTTACTAAAAACTGCCGTAACTTTTTTAAAAATAAACATATCAATATAATTCTTTTTTTTATAGTTGCATGATGTCATTACCTATCATTTGGTATATTTTTTTTATAAATCTGACTTTTTACCTGCCTACAGGGGGGGATTCAAAATGACAATTTTTTCACAAAAAATTGACTTTTTCGACTTAAATTTTGAAAGTGTTTCGGAAAGTCTGACACTTTTCTATATATATTAAATTAAAGCTAATGTAATATACTTTATTATGGTAAAAAAAAATTTCATACTTTATTTTGTCTTCAGGGTGAAATTGGCTACCAAATGCTTTTATTGTGTGAAAATTCTCGATTTTATTTTTTTATTTTTAACTTTATAATGCTATAACATATTGAAAAGTGTATGGATCAACATAATTTTTTTATGAGAAATAATTTTTTAATAATCCCTCTTTCATTCGATATACTTTATCTGAATCAGGATATTAATAACGAACTAGCAGATCATGTTGCTTTTGGAATAATCCACCTATTTTTTAAAATTAAACACTATCTAAAGATTTGCATCGAAGCGTTTTTTATGATAGTGATTTTAATCACTGTCAGATATCATTATACTTGATCCAAATATGTCAAGTCACCACTGTACCGCGACCCCCCTGTGATGGGTTTTTAACTTTATTATGCTATAACTTTTTGAAAAATGTATGGATCAATACAATTTTTTTATAAGAAGTAGTATTTATATAGATCTTTCATTCGACATACTTTTTATAACTAATGTTAGTAATATTTAGATTCGATGTTAATCTTTTTATTATGATGTGTTAATTTTTTTAATTTTTTTGTGTCTGTTACCACTTATTCTCAGCTCTCACTGGTCTGATTTTAATGAACAATACGTCAAAAGATCATAAATCGTATCTAGTTGAAGACATTAACCTCAGAGTTGAAAAAATTACTTCATCCTCGTATATAGGGGAAATCCCTCAAAAAAATTACAACTTTAAAAATCTATAATTTTCGACATTTTTTCATTTATTTTACTTAAAACTTCCATAACTTGCTGAAAAAAATATGTTTTAGTATAAGATACAAGATATAAATATTTATCTATTGTTTGGTATATTTTTTTTGAAAATCTCACCCTTTACCTGCTCACAGGGAGAGATTCAAAATGATAAAATTTTCAACTTAACTTTTGAAAGTGTTGTATGGAAATACTGATATTTTTGTATATATTTTTAATTAAAGCGTATGAAATATAGTTAAATAAATAAATAAATAAATAAAATTCAGACTATATAACTGTCTTTATAGTGAAAATGGTTACTTTATTCAAAAATATGTTATTTTTGTGTTGAAATTCTGCGTTTTGTATTTTATTTTATTTTAAGATGAATTACAATTGTAGTACACTGATTTTCATAAATATAATTGACATAGCATAGAGAGTTAAAATTATTTAAATTTTTTAGCTTCTCCTAAGTCGAGAAAAATAAATTAAAAATTTGAACTAGCTTAAATTGCCATTTTTATCCACCGAATATATTAGACGTACGGTTACCCAGTCGGTAACACTTATGTATTTAACAATTGTAGTAAGAAGTTCTAACCCCAAATGGGATTGGATGTTTATGAATTTTTTTCTCAATTCTTTTTGAGTTTCATTTGATTTTATCTCATTTAGATATTATAACTTTAATGATTATCAAGGACCCAATCACTGTAGTCACACCGTAAGAAGAAAATTCTTATTTTTTAATTCTCATAAAATTTTCTATTTAATGATGTCAATTTTAATCTTATAAGTTGAACTAAAAATCATGGTAACAAATTAAACTTATTTTAATTATAATCTTTCATAAAAGTCAACTTTAATGAGACAAAATAATAGGTTAATGTGATATTTTGCACTAATTATTTTTAACATAATAAAATTTAAAACCATTTATAATAAAAAAAAAATAATTTTTTTATGTTTTAATATTCATTTTTTAATAATTAGTAATAATATCAAAACTATGAAGTGATAGAAATAGTCTAATTTCAGATTTAAAAACAGCGCGAAAAGTTGATTTAAAATGTTTCTTTGTAGACATATGTATCATTAATTCATAAATAACAACAATTTTTTTTATAATGTATTGTGCATTAAACTCTTTTTATTTGTATACATGTTTGTCATAGAAGTAACAAAATATACTACTTTATCATTTTTATGGTTTCTCCGTAAAAATTACAATATTAAATTATTGTATATAATAAAATATATGAATATTGAATGAAGAAGAGGTAGAGGAAGTCCAAAAAAGAGATGGAAGTTGCAATATGAAGACTGCTGATGTGGGAGATCGTGTCAAGTGGAAATTTAGTATAAGAGTGGACGACCATAAGTAGTTGGGATTAAGGCGAGGAAGAAGAACATGATTAATATATATTAGGGTGGCTCTATTAGGTTTTTTTTTTGCCCGGACGCCCCCTAGAATTGTTCTATAGGTTAAAATAATAGTGAGACGGCATGTTTTAATCTACCGCCTACCCTGATTATACCATCGTTGTCTAGAAATGGTTTAAGACGAAAAAGTTTACTTTTACTGGACACTAATTATGAGTTTTTTAAGTCACACAACTCAGTAAAAAATTCTTCTTCTTGCGCTACCTTCACTAATCGTTTAAGGGCATTTTCAATTTCTGTAGCTTCAACAGGACCATAAATATTAGTGTCACTCGATAAAAAATTTAACTTCACACGAAGACAATAAGCCACAACACGTAAAAGTTTACTTAATGAAGAAAATAATTTAAAAATTTGATTAAAAGAATTATTTTCCGTTGTTACGAATAAATTAGTAATTACTTTTTCTTCAGACAAATATTCACTTTTAGAAGTAAGTTCTTGAAAGTTACTTGGCCATTGAGTATGTTCCCCTTTCAACCAACTAGGTCCGTTCCACCATAAATCTAAGTCTTTCATTTGTGATGGAAAACAGCCTCTTGACACTATGTCCGCTGGATACAACATGCCTCCATTGTGAAACAGACGTTAACTCTTGTATTTCACTTACTCTGTTTCCCACAAAAGTTTTCCAACGAGACGACGGAGATAATAACCAATTTAATACCAGTGTCGAATCTGTCCAATAAAAATATTCATTTATAGGTAACTGTAATTTTGGTGCATATTTTGACATAAGGCGAGCGGCCAAAAGCGCAACTAACAGTTCGAGCCGAGGTAACGAAACTATCTTTAATGGCGCGACTCTTGATTTTGCACACAATAAATTTATCACTACTTTACTATAAATGTCTGTAGCGCGTGTGTATATACAAGCACCATAGGCTTGCATACTTGCGTCAGCGAACGCGTGTAATTCTAGTTTTTTAATTTTTTCGATGCCGAGAACTAGACGATTGATTTTAATATTATTAATTTGCTCCAGTTCCACACGCATTTTTGACCAATCTTGTTGTAATGGAATAGGTAAAACGTCATCCCAGTTTATTTTTTGCAACCATAACTGTTGCATAATCATCTTAAACCTAATTATTACTGGAGCGATTAATCCAAGTGGATCGAATAGCGACGATATTTCGGATAGAACTAGTCTTTTTGTAAATCGACCAGATATTTTTATTGGTTTTATATTGTATTGATAGCAATCGTTCTCGTGATTCCAATATAATCCAAGGATTTTAGTAATATTTTTATTAGGCTCCTTTACATCGTCATCAACTTTCCTTAAATATAAAGGTAATTCTCTTAACAATAGTGGTTCATTGCTACACCATTGTCTCAACTTGAAACCAGCACTCTCCATGATTGATATTAAATCATCTCTTAACTTGACCGCCTTTTCTAAAGTATCTGAACAACTTAGGAGGTCATCCATATAAAAATTNACCGTTTTAAAGCTATTTGATACGATTCACCTAGTAGGGAATGATCCTTGAACGGCAATGATACAACAAATCGTCCGTTTTCATTCCGTTTGGTATTATTTTCAAAATGCAACTGGCACGCCTTTTCATCTAAACTTAAAACGTTTTTAGTTTTGACCTCTTCTAATTGCCAAAATTTCGCTATCTGGTCATCTAAATTAATTCGGGCGTTTATATCATTTTCAACTACATCTTGTTGGTGTGGTCATACAGTAGTTGCGAACATAGATGTAGTGAAGCTTGCTGAGATAGGACCGGACACGATCCAACCGAACTCAGTCTTTTGTATAACGGGACCGTCAACCGTCTTTATTTGATCGGAATACATCAAGTCAAAGAAAATTTCAGCTTCAATCAACATATCTATCCTTTGCGGTGTGCCGAACAGCGGATCGGCCAAAATAATATCTGACGGTATTTTTAACTCCCTCGCATCAATACCCGATTGTGGTAAGAGACTGGTCAGCTTGGGAAGTGTTAAAAAATTCAAGTTTGTTTTAAAATCTGACACGCGAGATTTAATAATCGCTGATACCTGGTGTTTAACATTATTCGGTGATTCGTTTATTCCAAAAACAGAATACGCTACATTTTTTCTTTTCAATTTCAAATAATGGGCCATTGACTCGGTGATAAAATTGTTTTGTGAGCCGGAATCTAGCAATACTCGGCACACTACCGGTTCATTTTTATTGTTATACGCATGTACTACGGCAGTAGCTAGCAGTACTGACCTGCGGCTACTGTTGTAATTTCTTTGATAAGTGTGCGCGTTTGTTAATATCGGCTGTTGTAGTGTTGTATTATCTGGCACTTTATTGTCAATAATACTTTCTACGTTATCTGAATTGCCCACATTATCTGTCTTCGAATTTACGTGCAATAAACTATTATGACCGCGTCCACATTTAGCGCAACGACGGGCCTTACATATTTGTTCATCTGCATGTGCTCTTAAACAAATAATACAATGGTTTAATTGCTTAATTTTATTGATACGTTCATTTACCGTCAGTTTTAAAAACGACGGACAACGATAAATAGTGTGCGATTGTTTACAATAATAACAAGTCACGCTACCGCCACTTGTAAACAATACATTTATTTTACGATCACTTCTTTTTTGAATAAAATTTTTCTTGCTGAAGCTGCGTATGTTATTATTAGATTGTAATTTGCTAGACGATTCAATAGCTTCTAGCATTCTAAAACGCGATTCTAAAAACACAATAATATTATTTAATGTTGCTACCTCTGACCTTGGTGATTCGATTTCCCAGCTACGCAAACTTTGTACGTCTAATTTAGATGTAATTAAATGTATAATTAGTGACCCCCACAAGTCGGGCTTTTGACCAAGATTCTCTAGAGCTTTAATATGACCCACTAACGTATCATGAAAACATCGAGTTTCTTCAGCACTTTCGTGGTATATTGGACTTAAATCGAAAAGCGACTTAGTATGCACTTGAACTAACAACTTAGTATTACTATAACGCTCTTTTAGAGTTTGCCAGGCGATTGTATATTTGTCAGAAGTGGTAGGTAAACACTGTATTACCTTAGCAGCTTCTCCGCTTAATGAAGGTCGTAAATAAAAAAACTTTTGCATATTATTGAGATTGTTATTCTCGTTGATCGCTGTGGAAAACATATCATAATACGATTGCCACTCAGAATAATCTCCTGAAAATTTAGGTAGATCGATTGGTGGTAATTTGATTATAGAAGAACCGAATTGACTATTTATATTATTGGGTTTAGTAGGAATAGATTGAATATTTTGAACGGAACTATCATTAATGCTGATATTATCAGATGAACATAGTTTCTTTATAAGTTTATCGCATTCGGCTAAGACTCCAAAATAAATATTCTCCATCTCCTCTCTATACTTTTCCATTTCTTCCGTAATTCCCGTAAGTTCTTCTATTTCTGCTTGTACCGATTCATAATCTTGCCACACCTCCAATATTTTATCTCGTCGTAGTATGATTTGACTGGTGTCAATATTTTCTTCTCCACTCTTTCTCTCAACAAATAATACAAATCGTGATAGTTGGCCTTTGAACTGACCACGACGAATGCTTAACTGGACTTGCTCTGCCATAACGTTGATATCTATTCAGATAGTCAATTGTATTACGCGATTACAATAGCGCTCTATTGCATTAAATTCCGAGTGTACTATATAGCGTTTGGAATAAAACCAATGATGTTCCTATTATAACACACGTTACTCGAGTTATGGGCGTTTTTACCGTATCACCAACGCACTTAAGACGGTACACTAACGCATTTAATTAAAAAACGTACGACGACGAGCACGGCAATGACAAAACTTACAAAATCAAATTATATATTAATTTATCCATGCGACACGATGGACCAAATGTTGCGTCTGGTTCAATCTGTATAATAAATAAATTGATAAATACGAATGTTTATTAATTGTGGACTGTATCTTTTTATTATTATTTTATTGTAAGCTGGCGATTTGTCCGCATAACTGGTCTTATATTGGTCGGCGACCATCATTATTATTGGTATCGCTTAATCGCGTGATAACGAGCGCGAACATCTAATTATTATTAGATTAGGTTAAATTCTATATTATTATTAAACATTATTGCTTTTAACTTCATAATACAACTTTATTAATATTATTAATACCAGAGTGTTAAAATTAAAATTTTATTATATTATTGTGATGACATGGCAATAAATGTAAACTGTATACAACAAATTACAGAAATTATGACATACTTTTTGTCAATTAAATTTAACTTTTTTTAAACCAATCAAAGATATTTTGTTAATAACTAAAAAAATTATATATTTGATTTTAATAATGATTTTTCTTTTGTGTGTAAAATAATTTTGATGAATTTACGTTTGGTTATTTTGACATAATATACAAATAACAAAATGTATTCCAAAATTAGCTATATACTTAACGAAACATATTTTAGAATTAAAAACTTTTAAGGCAGTTATAATAAATTATATATTTTATGCAGAATGTATATATTATATATACAGGGTGATTTTTTTATCATAACCCACTCAATTACTTACAGAATAATAATAATTTAAACATTTTTTTTTTTTTATTATCTTTAGTTACATATTATTCTTGAATTTTTAACTATGTAATACTTTTTAAGTTCATCCCTTATGCCTTGGAGGGGGGTAAACTTTGTTTTTTTAAATGGTAATACATATTTTTAATTTAATAAAATGTTTGAGTTTTTAATTTAATAGTAAATGGCATTTGAATTTTTAATATAACTTTATTAGCTTATTAGATACAAACATTTAAAGTTTCAAAATTTTGTGTTAATATACATGTATAATACACATGGGATTGTAAATACAGGTAGCTAATTGGATTTTTATGACATTGCTGTCTCAGTCACGTATTGTTTATTATCAATTATGATTATCAATAGATATATTTTCTGTATTGTCAGTTGGTGTATTTATATACTCATAACAATGTGTCTTACTATCATTGATAATAACAACGNATATATATATATATATATATAATGTATAATGGTTAAAAAATAAATTCAATTATTGTTTTTGTGCTTCCTGAAATTATTACTTAATATTATATAAAGCTTATATTAATAGAAGAGATCTTAGTCATACATAGAAATAACTTTAATTTAACATAAAATACGAATTTTGATTTCTTAAATGTTATGCCACAATTTAACAAAAAAAAACAGACTATGGCCATTGCCAAAAATAATGTTGATGTATTTTATGAAAACCTGTATCTATGTAATCAGTTTTAACAAATTTTTCACAAAAGTCATATAAAAATTTAGAAAGTAATTCATATTTGGTGACAAATGTGTTAGTTGCCATTGTTGTATTAATAATAAGTTCAGCGTTAGAAAATTTAGCGTCCAGATGTTCCTTAGTAACTAATAAACCTTCTGAATAACAGTTATTTTTGTTTTGACTTTTTAAATTACGTAACATACTAAAAAACTTATATCTTGCTTTCTGAAAACTTATCATGTAATCATTAGCTAAATTTTCAATATTTACTTCAGGTTTGTTAATAAACATATTTCGTATTACATCATTAGTTTTAAGATCAATTACATAATTATATATTAAGTAAAAAATTGAACGTAAGTTAGGAAATAATTTTTCGGGTAGCCATAATGTTGATAATTTTATTTTTTCCATAATAGTCAGCATAAAATCGAACATTTTTACTGTATTATTAATTGTGCCAAAAAGATATATTATACATTTCAGATACTCGTTTAAGTCATTATGACTTCTACACATTCCACTTAAAGCAGTTAATGACGTATTGTATATTAAAAGTACATCAATAAGTCTACACCTCAACATTTGTGTGAAGTAAAATTTTTTAAGATGAAAATTATGATCTGTCACCAGGTCTCTTATCACACTTGTGGCACTTACTATTAAATTATCAAATAGAATTTTTATTTGGCCAAATGAATCCCAATTACCTTCACTAAATAAAGTATTGAGTGTCATGATTCCAAGTTCTTGATTAATAGTTTCGTCAATCGGAGGTTTAAACCTATACAAAAATTCAAATATATTAGTTAAATTATTTTAAAATAGCAAGTATTATATATATATACACTATGATTCATTAAGGATATTACACCCCAAAGTAACAATGATATCAAGACTTTAAAAAAATGACAGCCTTACCACACAATTTAAGTCTAAGTTGAGAAAAATACGTTCTCTAAAATTTAATTTATATTGATCAGCTCTAAGGTAGCTCAAAAAAAGTTGATCGAGGTTTAATTTTCTAGAATTTTGTATTTCTCTTGAAAAATATGACTCTTATTTTAAATGTGGTCGCTATACAATTAGTTTATAAATAATTTACTACAATAATAATTATTACAAGTTTCACAAAAAGAACTCATATTAACAGTTAAAAAACTCAACACAGTGAGGACGTGGCATAGTTGGGTCAAGTATAATGATATCTGACAGTGATTAAAATCACTATCATAAAAAATTATAAATGTGGTTCTGATTGAAATTATATGTGAGAGTGCGTAATATGTATTCTTTATGAGTGAAAGTAAAAAAATAATGTATATAATGCTTAATAATTAAAAAATAGTAAAAAATTATATCATACATTTACTGATAATAATAATATGTGAGTACGATATGATATAATAATAATAATAATATCATATGTATAATGAATATAAAAATATAGGTAATAATTATGTAATAACAAGTAATGTGGATAAATATCAATTTCTAATTATTGTTATAAAAATTTGATATATGAGTAAATATTTTATATCAATAAATAATAATGTATAGAATAGTATTAACATTGATATAGTCTATTACAGAAATATGATGTTCATTAGTACAGCCATTGCTAAAATAACTATATGTAAAACATAAAAAGCTTTTGTAGTGTTGTGCCTTTACAACATGTAGTCTAAAATACAATTTCATAAAATAAAAAAAACCCAGCACAGTGGGGTCGTGGCATAGTGGGGACGTTGCATAGTTGGGTCCAGTATAGATTTAATCTGACAGTGATTAAAGTCACTATAATAAAAGATGCTTTTATGCATATCTGTAGATATTGTTTAATTTTTAAAAATTAATGGATTATTCTAAAAGCTACATGATCTGCTATTTCCTTATTTATATTTCGATTAAGATTAAGTATGTAGAATGAAAGAGGAATTATAATTATTATACCTCATGTTATGGCAATTTTAAGTAAAAAAATTTGAAAAAAATGTCAAAAATTCCCCCATTTACGGGGAACAAGGGAATTTTTTTTCAGTTTTTAGGGTAATGTCTTCGACTAAATATGATTTGTGATCTTTTGACGTATCGTTGAATAAAATGGGTTCGGTGAAAGCTTAGAAAAAATTGATAAGACACAAAAAAAAAACACATCGTAATAAAACATTCTCAGCTTCGCATCGAAGCTAAAAGTTATTTGGAATTATAATAATTCTATTTTTTTGTCGATTAAGAAATTAAGGGGACTTTATTAAATTATGACAGTTAAGTTAATAGTGGACAAAACCCGAAGTCAATAACCACTCTGAAAATAAAGGGACAAGAGAAAAAAAAAATTTAACCTACAACTTTTAAACATTACATGTGAAATGTCTTCCGCATCGGAACAAGTCCGTGTACTCCGGGCGCGGCGGATAATTTCTGTAATCGGGCCGGCCGGATCGTACTTGGGCACTGCGGGAATAATATATATATGTATTAAATATACATGACACACTACTGACCAATAACCTTAGAAATATCAATACTAGCATAAGTTTATATATGTTTCATAAAAAAAACCCAGCACAGAGGGGTCGCGGCACAGTGGTGACGTGGCATAGTTAGATCAAGTATAATGATATCTGACAGTGATTAAAATCACTATAAAAAAAAAACGCTTCGATGCAAATCTTTAGATAGTGTTTAATTTTAAAAAAATTGGTGTTTTATTCCAAAAGCTACTTGATCTGCTGGTTCCTTATTAATATCTCGATTAAGATAAAGTATGTCGAATGAAAAAGGGTTTATTAAAAAATATTATTTCTCATAAAAAAATTGTGTGGATCCATAAACTTTTCAATAAGTTATAGCATTATAAAGT